CAGTTAGCACTAAGCAGACTCAGAGTCACTGTGACTCTGGAGTCTGGCAGCAACTACCTTAGCCTTTTTAATTATTTTAAATATTCTTTTCCTCATGACACCGGTGAGGCCCCGCCTCCCATGCCTCCCCTGACTGCACGTCCCTGGTGCTGACTTGTGTCTGCATTTTCTGCAAAGTTTGTATTTGAAATGGATATATTTAGAACATGAAGAATGAGATGGTGGGAAATGAGGAACTGAAAGTAACAAATAGCTGAGAGCTTCAAATGTACACGGATATATTTGCAGAGCGTGACAGTCAGTGACAATGAGTAAGAAAGTAAGAAAGAACAAGGAAGTGAAACTATGGAATGCGTAGGTCAGTAAAAAAGAAGTATAAGAAGTGTGGCTTGAATGAGACAGTTGTCATTCGCCCAATAGCAGTCCTTGTAGGACTTGCTATCTGCCATTGGAACCCATTGCAATGGTTTCAAAATGTAAATTTTGTTGTGCAATTGCATTGCTATGTTGGCTATTCATGTTCCAAATTGCTCATGAAACAATAAACCTCTGATCTTAAAGTAAGATATATTGATTGTGGTTTCCCTTTGTTTTTTTATCAGGATATTTTTATGACAATAGCAATAGCACTTAGACTTATAGTGCTTTACAGCCAGGTCTAAGCAGTTTTACAGAGTCAGCATATTACCCCCAATCAATCTGGGTCCTCATTTTACAGACCTCGGAAAGAAGGATGGAAGGCTGAGTCAACCTTGAGCTGCTGAGACCTGAACTGCCAAACTACTGGCAGCCAGTGATCAGCAGAAGTAGCCTGCAGTACTGCACTCTAACCACTGTGCCACCACAGCTCTTAACATATTTTTCGGAGTATAAGAGGCATCTTTCCCTCCCCCAAAAAGAGGGTGAAAATCTGGATGCATTTTATATTCTGAATGTAGCCCTGCCAGCACCACCACCCCTTTGGACATTTTCAGCCTCCACACATCACATTTATGGTTGGTTCCAGGTGGCAGGTGCCAAGGAATGTGCCAATTCCCTCTTCTGCCCCCATTAAAATCATCCCCCACCCCACGCACTCCAGTTAAATGTGCATAGGGTGATAGTGTTTGTTTTAAATGGATAAGTAGATTTGTGCTGCTCATTATCAAAATCTGAGTGGAAGTGAGGATGCCACCGATCCCAGCTGCCTGGAACTGCCCGAAAACACGAGGCACGGAGGCGACGATGATGTGTGGCAATCGCTTCACTCTGAAAGAACTGATTGGGGGTATTCCAGGAGGCCATTCACCCACCAATCAGCTCTTCTTGCTGCAATAACGTGCTGAAGCTGATCAGGCCGTTCGCTGTTTGCTGCAAGGACGCTAGCCAGATTAATATTGATGAATGCTGGTAGGCAGAAACTTTTTTTCCTGCCCCCCCCTCCCAAATTAAGGTGCGTCTTATACTCAGGTTTGTCTTATATTTTGAAAAACATGGTATATATATCAGTCCACCAAGCTTTATAGCAGTCTTCGAGCAATTTACAAAGTCAGCATATTGTCTCCAACAATCTGAGTTCTCATTTTACCAACCTGAGAAAGATTAAAGGCTGAATCAACTATGATTTGGTCATATCGAACTCAGCTTTCAGCTTTTCCTCCATTTTGGAACTGGTTTTCTTTTTTTTTCTTTAGAGTGTTTCCACAGGGACAAGAAACAGTGTGAGACCTGCAAGCCATCTTTTCTTTTGGACCTCAGGCCTGCCCCACTTTCTATTATTCTACTATGCATTTTCTATTATGGGAAAATGGGAGGGGGGTTATACGGAATTGTGTGATAAGTAGCCATAACAAAATTCTTTCTTGAAAGCCAAGGTCATCCTTTGTCTCTGTACCTCTGCACCTGAACTGGATGGGTAGAAGCTGCCAGCATGGGAGTGGAAGATTAGACCATGTGATGGACTTGTGGGTGTGTGGGCAAGATATTGAACTTTCAACTGGGTGGGGGAAACTGGGAAGCCTTCAGATTTGGGTTTTCCCAGATGTGCCAACATGGCTCTCTTAATAAAATGGAACTTTGAGGAATCTTTTGTCTCGGACTCTGATTTACTTTCGGATGCTTTTTGGAACCCTGACAAATGGGTCACCTGGGGTGTCCATCAGAAGAGGCTGGAGGGGTCTCTGCCCTTTCTGCTACCGCCTTTCAATGTGAAGCTGAGTGATTGATGTGAAAAAGGTACGTGTATGTATTGAATTAAAGAGATAAAAAACATGTACCAAAACGATTTTCCAGATTGTGGCTTCCCTGCCTGTGTCCCAGCTTCCTCCCCTTCAGGCAGGAGTTCCCAACAATCGCAAGACACAAGCTGTGTTTCCCAGAGAGCCTCCTGGTCCTTCTCATCCGACTTCCTGGCTGTTTCTGACAGGATTTGGACTCTTTTGAGGCCTCCTCCAATCTCTGCTCAGTCTTCAGGCAGCTTTTTTTGAGGGAAGTGAGTTCAAATCTCCCAGAGAGAGAATTACAACTCTGTTATTTTTCTCCATCTCCACAAACAGTTTCCTAGAAGGGAAGGAGAGAAAGTGCCGCCTGTGGAGACGTTGATGCCTTTGTCTGACAGGGAGGCATTGAGAGCAGCCTTTCCTCACACTCTCATGACCATCATCCCCGCCCTCTCCCTTCTTCTCAGATGCGCTCCTCTTTCCCGCCTTTTCAAGCGAATCCTGCAAAATCCAGCAGGGGGCGCCTTCTGCCAAAAGAATCACGCACTTCCCTATTGGGCCACTGGAGAGCGAAAGTCACGGCTGCCTTTGAAGGAAGTGACATCATACAGCCGTGCCTGTCTAGGACGCCGCACTCGCTCTCCTTAACTCCTGGGGCTCCGCAGGAGGCGGGGAGGCTGCGGGAGAGTCTGGCGGGGGGAGATCCAGACGTACCCCGGGCGAGTTGGGGACTCTTTCCGTGTAAAGAGAGGTAAAGGAGAGAGAGACCTGCGTCCAGCCCTCCTCTGGGTTCAACCCCGGGTTCCATGCTCCCCAGCCGCCCTCTGAATGCAGGGAGAAAGGAGGATGCCAGGAAGGTGGCGGGGATCCGGGGATCCCTTCCCTTACATGTGTCCTGGGAAGAGCCCGAGTCGGGGGAGAGGATGGTCGGACTTGAGGAGACCCAGCAGGAGAGGAGAGAAGCAGGCGAGGAGAAGGCAGGATTCGCACCAGGCTCCCAGAGGAGCCGATCCTGTCTCGGGGTGTGTGTGTGTGTGTGGAGAGAGAAGCGGGGCGGCCTCTCCAGCTGCCTCCTTCCCGGCCCTGTTCAAGGGGGGACGGAGTCCCTGCGCTGGGATAACCCACTGGTGGCTCTAGACAGGTTGGGTGAAACTTTTTCAGTGGCTAATTCTTGGCATATATTTTTCTTTCCATCTCAGATACAGAAACTGGAAGTCAAGGCAAAATTTTCTTTTTGGGGAAAAAAG